GGTTTGCTGCTGTTGTCTGCTGGATAAGATTCTGTTAGTTACACTAAAAAGCTCACAGCTTTTCTCTGATGAAACATCACAGTTGTAATGAACGCGTCTTTGTAACTGCATTTTCTCATGTATGCAGTGTACATACTCCGTAGTGAATCTTGAATGGAAGTCTTCACACTGTATGTTTTTGTTATTCTGAAAAAGAATGTTTATAAAAGATGTTGAGAGGAAGATAAACGGAAGCCTGGATAAGTTCAAACTCGGCATAATGATCAATACCTGACCATCTGTCTGATCTGTTAGCAGCACTTTCTGTGAAAAGCCAGTTGGACAGGCCTGAAGTGAGTTTCATTGAGATTCCGTGTTGGTGTAGGTATCAGTGTCGTAAAATGTGGTGCTCAAAGTTCAGTGTTACACGGAGGACAGACTCCCAACAGTGAAGTTAAACTGCCACCTCACACTTTAGCTTTCACATTTAAGCCGCCGAGCTGACGCTGCGACCTAAAACTACCTCCATAAGTACAGCAGCAAAACAAGCTTAATATACTCCTCAGTCACCAACAGTTAACACTCCCACGGCCCGACATTAATCACCACTAATTAATCGCAGTTTTTTAGTAGGGGGGGGGGGGCTGAGAGGATGGTGGAGGAGAGAGACGCTGCTCTGTGGCTTATCATACTCTGGCCGCCGTGATCCGTCTTTCAGCCAGACCAGTGCTCCCACTTTGAGCCGAGCAGCTCGCTGGAGGTTTTGGCAGCGGGGAGTGGAGAAGCCAAAGGGCTGACTACAGCAGTGCAGCAGGGAACAACATGCCATAACTACTGTACCTTGTGGCGTGTCGCTCTGCTGTACAGTGCGTGCCACGTTGCACGTCGCACACAGTGGTAGCAAAGTTGCATTTCTATTTTATGTCCTGGGACCAAGAGCCAGTGGTCGGACTCGTCATGTGGTCATTTCAGTGGTTGCTCTGGCTCATCAGCTCATCAAGACAAAATCTGTGAGAAGAAGCTGAGGAAAAAAAAAACTTAACCAAAACAAATACATCTACCACAAATGATGCTGTCAATTAAGATTTTCAGATTTTCAAATCTATAGTCAACATCTTTTCAGCAATAGCCATCCAAAGTATTTATATTCTTTAACTACAACTGTATACAGTCGTTTTAATTGTTAGGGACGGAGTCAGCCATTCCTGCACTGGATTCTAATTCCCTGGTGAAAACCTGTGTGGCTTTAATTGTGACAAAAAGTTAAACTGGCTACAAATTACATTACATTTAATCATTTGTCAGACACTTTTATCCAAAGCAACTTACAAGTGAGGGACATCACTTCAGTGCAGTAGAAGACCTGGTGTAAGTAAGAGCTAGTTAGACATGTTATGGTGTTAGAGGTGTTAGGAGAGGAGGTGCTCTCAGAAGAGATGAGGCTTCAAGAGATTCTTGAAGATAGAGAGGGACGCTCCTGTTCTGAAAGCATTCAGTAGCTTGTTCCACCATCAGAGAACCACAGACCAGAACAGTCTGGACTGAGACCGTCTTGTGTGCAGGGATGGTGATGTCAGACGATATTCCTTTAGAGGAACACAGTAGAAGAGACGGAGCATAAGGCTCTGAAGGCAGCATGAAGTGACTTGAATTTGATTTGTGTGGCAATGGGTAGCCAATGTGGGAGTAGCAGAATGACATGTGACCTTTTGGACTGACCTAAGACCAGACAAGCTGCTGCATTCTGGCGCATCTGTGAGGCTTTCACTGAGGCTGAAGTGAGGCCCACTGGAAGAGCATTGCAGTAGTCGAGGCGAGAGATAACCATGAGATAACCTGGACCAAGAGCTGGGTGGCGTACTGAGTCAGGTAAGGCCTTTCGACCGGGAGACGGATGCAATACGATCACAGAAGGAAGTTAAATGAACTATGTCTTATTATTATAAATAATCAAATTATTATATCATTACAGATGTGCTAATTTTACACCTTGATGATAGGACGGTCAAATATTTATCTGATCACATTCATAGATAGTTTGCGTGACTGTATCTTTGTAGTTCTCCCTGTGAAAAATACAGAGATGTGATCTGAATACCGAGCAATCACCAGATGTTCTGTAATCAGTACGGAAACAAGAACCTGCTTCACACACTTATTTCCTGCATTCATGGTTCCACTGGATACCTCCAACTGTACAGCAGACTCATTTTTTACTAATGTGTTGCGAACTTGACAGAGGTAAGAGAAACCTGACTGTATAAACAACTGTGAAACCAAAGCCTTGTGAGAAAGTGTGCTGCTGCATGGAGCCGGCAGAGAGAGCATGTCTGTGGACAGAGGTCAGAGGTCACGGCGCTGTGATCACAGCAGCCAGGGGAACACGTGGAAAAGCAGGAACTTGCTTTAAATATACAGTGTGAACGTGTCCGTAGGCATGTGTGCAATCCTCACGTGATCCCTCTCTCCCACACAGACACACACACACACACACACACACACACACACACACACACACACACACGGGAAAAGGTAATTAGACAGAGTGCATTTAGTTCGTACATGGGAAATTACTGTTTTGTCTGTCCTCTGTTTATCAGTGGATGTATTACAACATTCTTCTGGCTCAGAATGAAACACATTACTATCAAAGATTTAATTAGTTTTCATTGGCCATAATCTATGACAAGGACAGATACTGATCAGTTTTTTTAGCCAATTCTTAAAGAAAACTCCAGTGTCTGTACTCAGTGAGGGAACATTATGTCCCAGATGATTACACTATACTTATTCTATTGTACTTACGTTGTAAATTGTATTTTATCTGTTCTTTTATTATTCAAGTGAAAAGTGCTATACAAATAAAGGTTGATTGATTGATTGTGATGGAAACACGGCAATGACTTGGGATTCTGACTTTTTGCTGTCTTTCTAACCACTACGCTTTACTAGTCATCGGCCAATCAGACTACATGCTAGAAAGAACTGTTACTCTATTTGTAGTTCAGAGCCATAAACCGCAGCAGTTTGTCAGTGAACGTCATCGTTTGTGAACAGGGCAGCGGTCGGACCATCTGCAGCCAATTTGGCTTCTGTCATTACAACCATATCAACCCACACAATGACCTCTGTGTCAGCGCTGACAACAGGTTGCATTGTAACATCAGCAGCATTACTGCCCCCGTCTATGATTATCCTCGCTTGGTTTCACACTGCGCTCCATGGTCGGGCCGTTTCCGCTACAAATGCTGCTTTCATTACCGATAAGAAAGTTATTCTACAAAACTGTGTGCGAGTCGGAGCCGAATACATGATCAGCTGATTGTTCCTGAGACAGGCGAGAATGAAGGCCGGTGGGCTGACACTGGAGATTGATACTGGAAATATATTGTGTAAGACCACTCCTCCAGCCATGACAGTTGATGCCCTTCAACAAGAAGTTAACATCACCATTTCTTTAAACTGTAACTCCTTTTGTTTGTTCTTTTGTCACTGCAGCAAAAATATGAATCCGTGTACTCAAGGTGCTTCTATTATTTAAGTGTAGGTAAAACAAACAAGCACTAATGATATTCATGGAATATTACAGATGAATAAAAATTCATTGGTGTTACCGAATGAGAAATAATTCATGACTATGTTTACGGTTAGGGGATTACAGCAGTTTTCTTGTAAAGAAAGAAAGTAATGTTTACATTCAGTGTTACACACCAAAATCCATTGTGCATATTAGCCAGTATATGTGTTTAATCCATTTCCTTTTCTTAAAATATTTTGGCTGTGTAGAAGACTCACTAGGGTGTAAGTGCAGACAGTTGGACTCTACTTGGATGTTAAATTGCTACGTAATTGTGTGACGGATATTCGTAATTATTATGTTAGTTGCATAAGCAAAAACGTCAGAGCATCCGCATCACATGAGGCAAAATACTTTAAATTACATGCTATCTTACAAGTCGTGCAAATGTCTTTTTTTTTTTTGTTTTTTTTTAACCAATCTTTCATGTATCATTTATGATCAGCAGAATAGATCCAGGTAAAGTCAAGCTGGTTTAGTCCTACTTTAAGAGAAAGGAAAATCTTACTGCTGAATATTACATATTTCCATTATTAGTATTTCCATTGTAGATCTAATTTCCTTGCTGCATCTATTTCTCCGGTATTTAATACTCCTACTTTTTGTTTAACTTGCATTATCTGATTTTTAGCCACTTGGGAGCAGCGTAAACATGTTAGCAAACAGTTGCTTATGCACACAAGTCTGATATTCACTCTGCTTTTAGCTCTGTTTTGGTCTCCACCACGTTTTTAGCTTTTATGTGCTCCACTGTGTTCGCCGGCTAGTTGCTAATGTTGCTAACTACGTTTGTGGTGTTGGGCAGCTGGTGTACAGTCAGTTTGCTTGCTGCTGATCAAAGTTACATACCATCAAACCAAAACAATGAGCAGAAAGATGCTAAAACGCCCCATAATCCTAAGAGGAAATGTGGAGTCAGTTGATAATTATTTGCAGTTTCGTCATGTTTTGCTGTGCTGATTTAGTAAATAAAACACTTGTGACATTCAGATTGAGGCAGAAACATGATGTCATATTTGCCATCCAGATCAGCTGATCATTAGAGCTCCTTCACAGAACACAGTAGTCTATTTAAACACCCAGCTCCATGTGAACTAACTGGAGCCGCTTACTGGCCACAGAAGGATTTTTCTGAAACATATTAATAAATAATACAAACTGAAAAATGACAAAACAGATAATTAACTACCCTCCTAGTTACCAAAAAAAAGTTGGCATTGCAACTAGAGGGTAAGTGTTATTTTTTAGTTTTTCCACTGACATAATCACATTACAGCCCTGATTTCTCAGAGTGCAGCAATGTTATATATACACACAGTCATGCTCAATGCCTCTGAGAGAAAAGAACTGGAGTCTTTGTGCAGGCTCACTGAGGCAGATCACAGATTGCGTGGGCAAATGCGTCAAAGGACAGGAGTTCTCTGTCAGCCCTCCAGCAACTTACCTGACCACTTTAGTGCCACTTTTGTTGACCTGCATGTCCACCATACATCCCGAGTTGACGTAGGAGGCCAGGTTGATCTCCGAGAACTCCGCCTGGAGAATAGAAGAAGAAAACACCCCCACACTTTACATGATGCTTCCTACAACATCACAGTGCATCAGGTCGACTTTGTCTACATTAATTGAACTCCCTGACTCAGTCCTCAGATGCACAAAATGGTGTAATTTCTTTTACAAAGGTAAAATAAAGAATGTCCCACTGTGTCATGCCTTTCACTTGTGACTGTCCTGTGGTGGAGCTACAGATGAAGAAAAAAAAAAAAACTACAATAGATTCTTTCACTTTTCACATTTTATATTTCTGCTTTTGCACAGCAGAGAGTAAAAGACAAGGGTCAGAAAGACAGAGAGACAGAGTGAGAGGAAGCAAATTGAGTTATCCCCAGTCTCTGGCCTCCCGGACAGTCAGGGCCTTGTGAAAGGCTGTAGCCCGGCTACCTAACAAGTCAGTCAAACTCCCAGCAATCCTCGAAAGGAGGGGTGACAGCTGACTTCTGGGAATGGACTCTGTGGATGGACAAGGACCAGAGAGGGACAATTCAATTTTCCTTGTAATGACTGTCACTGCAGTGGAGAAATCTATTGGTGTTAATGGTCATGGCCAAATCTAGCAATCCTTTTCATCTGCCACATTAATGATGATATGCCCACAAAAGGGTTCTTACTCAATAGTGAAAATGCAGTGTGAGAAAAAAAGTTTGTGATTGGGGGGACAAAGTTTTTTCTTAATTCAATCAATGTTTACTCTACCATCTTTATAACTATTATAATACACACTGTCAAAATAAAGTTACTCAACTAAACTAACTCAAAATATAATTTAAAGCGCAACATTGCAGCAGCTAAAAGTGATGTAGAAGGGGTGTGTCAGTACACCGTGACATCACTGTTGGGTGTGGTTACAGGTGGATGTGGTCACAAGTGCATCAGATATCCTTTGACCCAAACAAACTCAAAGCCTGAATGTAGCCTGAGAGCCAAAAACCCAATGCAAAAGATTTCTACTGCTAAAGCTTGTTGCTAGCAGTGCACAGTGATAATGACCCAGATGAGTGTGTTGACATTTTATTAACTCAGACCGTCTTTCATCAAGGCAATGGCAGCTGGAGAGTAACAGGACAAAGTTAGGGAGAATGTAGTGAGTAAATCAAACTGAAACTGTGAAAGTAGCTCTGGATAAAAATAGGTTTTAGCAGTGCCAGCGACATTATTCTCGGGATGGCGGTGTTGGTAGTCTGTGATCCTCGACTTCTCATCTTTCTCCAAAAAGTGATAGCATTCCCTTCAACCTCAGTTGTACTTAATGTTTAGTGCTAATCAAGAAATGTTAGCATGTTAACAAGCTAAACTAATATGGTAAACATTACACCTGCTAAACATTAGCATGTTAACATTGTCACTTTTACCATGTTAGAATGCTCAAAGCACCGCTATGCTAATAAAAGCCTCACAGAACTGCTAGCATGGCTCTAGACTCTTACTCTTGTTGAAAGATGAGGGGGGCACGCTGCTCTTGCTTATAGCAAAATCAAAGAATTGCTACAAACAGTATCTGTATGAAGTAAATTAAGTGTGTATTATCATAACATGACTTCTAGCTAACAAAAATTAGGTCTTTAAGACATTCATTATATGTGCAACAAAGGGTCTTATAATTATGATAATTTTACTGATAATTTTACCTGATGATAATATAATATAATAAAACAGTTTTGGTTGTGGCAATAAGGAAACAACATCAGAACAAAAAGCCTTCTGTCAGGTCCCCTGTTTCACTCCATGTTTCCTCAGAGGGGAGATGGGCTGCATGGCTAACAGAACAGTTCAGTCATTTTAACACACTGTGCAACCACATGTCCCATGTTCCCTGACAGGGCTCTGCTGCTCCAGGTACAGACAGCCCTGGAGAGAAGCTAAACAGCAGCCAGTTGACCTCGAACAACGCATTTGTTAGCCTTCACATCACTTTCAAGTATGAGACATGACACTAATGTAGTGGATTTAATGAGCCCCAAACAAGCAGCCTGCTGACTGCTAAAACCAAAACTCAATTGGACATGACATGGTCGACTACCAAACTGAACACTACAAAAGGAACATGGCTGCATTTCATTTGTCTGTGAGTGCTCCACTCCTGAGTCAGCGATGGACCACATTTAACAGTTCACTCACTGTTAACACTGCAGTGTGTAACAAGGAAATATTACTTAGAGGAATAATCAAATGAAAAAGCCAAACCAAGAGATAACAAGAGTTCAGCTTTGTTTATCTGCGGTTAATGTCATGTGACCACACCATACTGTCATGGAGGACGCAGAAGAGCACAATCACAATGTGTGGTTTCGTGCGAAACAGAAGTGATGTAATAAAAGTTAAGATGTTAATGTTGTGGATCGACATAATTATTTATGCTTTTCAAACACTGAAAGTGCAAGCTAATCAAATAACTAGGTTTGTGACTAGAAGGTCAATGGATTAAATCCTGGACTTGCTAGCTAAATAAATAAGTAAAAGCCTCATCATGGATTCTTTCTAGATTATTTGCTCTTTAAGCATTTTATGTGCTTATGTGCAAAGATAGCAGGATGGCAAGATGCTGGATATCAATTTTTGTCTCCTGCCCAATCAGAACGGGGTATTGTGACTGCGACTTAGTTTTAAAGCTGCACTAATCAACATTTTCTGTTAGCAATGAGTAAGGTGACAATGTGTGATGTGAAAAGTGTAACTTGTAGTGACAAACCCACAGATAATTGTCATCCAACTGCAGTTCCCTTCAGTTCAATTGAGCATTTTAGTGTCTTTTACGATTACGGGTTTTACAATCCACAATTCTGATTCAGTCTTACAGTTGTCATCAACCTCATTTGAACTGGCAGCGGTTTTCTGTGGAAAAAGCTCTGATAAACCAACTGTATGTTTACTTGCCCAACACCAAACAACACAGACAAAGTTAGCAACCATTCAGTGAACATAGTGGAGTAATTAGCAGCTAACGAGCCAGATATTTCCCTCAGGAGCTGGTGGAGACCAAAACAGAGGTTAAAGAGAGTGAATATTGGACTTATATTCATCAGGTGGCCAGAAACAGAACTCCAAATGAAGGCTAATGTTTCCCTGTGTCTCAGTGTACATGTAAATAGGCAACTGTTTGCTAACACGTTCGATATATCAACTTAAAGTTACAGCTTATTCTGCTGCCTTCAAGTGACCAGACAAAAAAAAAAAATCAATGAACTCAGATAAAGAGTAAAAGCCACATTTCTCACAGTCTTAAAGAAGAAATGTTGGCAAGTCAGAGCAGCACTGGAAACTTCAAACTTCATGGATTATTCATGTTATGTTATGTTTCTGAAAATTTTGTGGTTTGCACAGAAACCTTACAGCTAGCACAATAAAGAGCAGCTGTTTAAATGACAGACAGCTGATCATTAGCTGATATTGTGATAGCCTTGCAACAACACAAATCTACAGTAAGCTGCTCTCTACTTTGCAGGCTTCAGTGGACAGGCAGGGCAGCACGTCTCATACAGCTCGGCCTTCAACAACGCCAACATGGATGGTGAGGGAAGCAGATCCTGCCGCTGACCTTCTGCTCAACCCAGCTCCTGCCAATTTCCATAGCAAGTTAAGTCAATTGCTATCTACACATTCTCATAATGTGATCATCATTTGAGACGTTAAGCCTGCTTTACCAGGCTTTATATTGGCTTTCATCTACATAAAAAGGAAATATTATCAGCAATATCCTTTCAGAGATAAATTTCCCTTTCATCTAGTGCCGTAGCTCATGTAAACTCTGTATGGGGGAGTGAGTCGGTTTTGAAAAGAAAGCGCCGAAACTTGTTTTGTTTTTTTTTGCCAAGAGAGAGAGAGAAAAAAAACCCACCCGCCTCTTTTATTTATTGTGTTGCACTCTCAGAGGAAGAGCAGGGGCGAGTAAATGCCATAATCTTATTTAGGGGACAACGAGGCGCCACTCAAACTCAATGTGCCTCAAGGACATGCACTTGGCTCCTTTCCTTTTCTCAGCTCTTCTCTACTGATACCCGCCTCTGAAAGAAACATCTGTGTGCTCAGCAGCACATGCCGAGCCAAAAAAGACTCTTAAATGCATAACACACCCAAACACACAGACACACACACACACACATACATCCTACATCACTGCACCGCCTGAACAAATCCCATCCCAAACACAGGGGCCTACATTGACTTTTGCTGCGACCAGATAAAGCCAGAGAGTGGGCAACATTTTGGCGAGGGCCGAGCTTTGTACGTCATCTCTGATTGGCTGGTTCTGGGTAAGAGGAGTGCTCACAACTACTGTCATTGGGCAGTAATGGATGAAGTGGCTGATGTGGGGCACAGGCCAAGAAGCCAGGACAGGAGGCTTTTCACAGCGCCATGGTTACCATCACGGTAACACATTCAGACACTTGTCTTGGAGCCGCTCTTGCCTGGGAAAGGAAAACAGGAAGTGATACATGGATAGAAGTGATTCTTCTCATCTGTTGACCTGCATTCAGGCTGGTTCTCAGCTGACCTGTTAGCATCAACAGAGTTACAGGAGTCGATTTACCGTGGTGAAACCTGCCATTCGGTTTCACCATCTTATGTTGTTTCAGTTTCTATCAGCCATAGTCAGTCATACTGCTCACTGCTGCATAATCTATTTATTTACAGTTATCCAAGCAAACTCTAAATGTACAACTCATTCCAACAGCTCACGGAAAAGCTGATATACACTGGATCGCTGTTGTACTATACAGACATTTATTTATATGAAAATGCCAGTTGAATCAACACTACCTTCTATTTTCATTGACAATATCTTATACATGAATTTCCACACAAGCCTCACTTGTCACTGCAGTGCTGCCTGAACTCTGTCCTCTGCCAAGCCATGTGAACCTGTGGACAGTTCAGTAAACACCACTTGACAGTAGCTCATCTGGAATCTTTGTGAGTATTTTTAGATTCGGACTAACCCGTGTCACTGAGGTTCAGGTGGTTAAGGTGTCTTTTGTCAT